CTCACTCCCTCCTGGACCCTTCTTTTCTTCCTCTGGTCTTCTCCAAGGTGGGGTCCAGAGAACACTGTCTCTTCTTCCAGGCTCCCCCAGTTCATTGTACACAGAGCTCCCAGAAGACCTACAGCTCCACCACCAACCGGTCAGCTGTGGTGTCCCCCTGCCTTTGCTGAGGCCACTTGCCCTTGGTCTGCCTGGCCCTCCTTGGCCCTGTGAGCCCAGCTCCACTGCCTCCTTATTGCTGGCCTCACCAGCACCCCAGGCAGAGGTGATACCACCAACCCTGTGGCCTCTGATGGCCATGGGACAGCCCTTTCCACTGTCTGAACCCCTGGGCTTCTCTCTAGCCACCCCCACGGGGAGGCAGGGAGCATAGCTGCTTGTCTCTCCTCTCCAGAGCCCAGCACAGGCTATGTGGAATGAGGGGCGATTGTCTGCCAATGACACAAGGGAAATAGGACGGATTTCCTGAAACTCACTGGTTTGGAGGAAACACGATGCGGGGGAGGCTGTGGCCAGACTGAACTAGGCCTCTGAAAAGAAAGGATAGATTCTTGAAAGACCCTTCAGACACCTCTGGAGAGGCTTTTGCTGTGTTCTGACATCTTACCCCTCCAGCTCTCTAGAGGGAGTGTCCAAGTCTGCCCCCGGCCCAAGCCAACCCCCCGGGCTAGCTCCCAGGAAGCCATTTCTCTGCAGTCCCCACCTCAGAACCAGCCAGCTACAGTTCTGAGCAGTTTCCTCATCTGTAAAACAAAAAGGATATAAGGTCTCGTGCTCCAACCCCACCCAGCTTCTCCATACTGTGCACCGAGCAGCATCCCCCACCATGCTAGCCCCACCTCTCGCCAGGCCAGCGCTCCCCCCGTCTACCAGATGGTAGTCTTCCCCAGGCCACTGATTTTCAAAGCCTGGGCAATTCGCTTGGTACCAGCCCCAATCACAATAGCCTCCCTGTGTCATGCGTACAGCACCATGGTACTGCACATCTATTCTCCTCTGACAGTCCTAGGAGGTGGATTTCATCATGCCCCTTTAACCGAGGACACTGAACCTCTGGGAAGGCAAGCAAAGTCCTCAGGGAAATGTGCCCAAGCTCATCGTGGAGAAGCCTGGGCTCCAAACCAGGAGAGCCTGACCATCAGAGGCCATGGCTTCCCCCACTGTGCTGGGTGGCTTCTCAGCGGATGTGCTAGGAGGGAAGAGATGAGTGGCGTGATTGGTGGGTGATGGACTGAGCAAATGAATGAACAAGCAAGTGGATGACCAGATGACAGAAGGAATGAGGACCTGGGTGCCTAAGTGACCTCATGGAGTGAATGAATGAATCCATGGCTGAATCTAGGACCACATGAATGCCCCAAGCCCAATAGAGCTCGGGCGTCACCAGGCATCATGCGGCAGGGTGTCTGGTGCCCTGGCTAGACCCATGCCTCTGACAATGGGATCTGTGCATGATTTAATGGACATCTCCAGGGTTGGAGGGAAGTGGGGAGCCTCATGACAAAGATGAATTTCACCAAATCTAGCATATTTCTCACTGCCAATTAATTAAGTGGGCCTCAGCAAGGAGCCCAGGCCAGTACATCAGCAGAAGGCTGGGACTTTGACATTATCTGACTAGTGCATGAGTTGGGCCTTTGAGTGGGTGGCTAGCAAGAGTCCCTGGGCACCACGCTCCCCATCCTGTCTTCACCTCACCTGTCATGCTGTGGTCTCTACTCTCCAGCCTATCTCTGGGCCTCTTCACCCTCCACTCTAAACACTAACAACGGCCAACCCCATTGGAGCCTCAGAGGCCAGCACTCAGCAGCCCAGATCACATAGTGGGGCAAGTGTGAGCAGGACCTAGGGGAGGGGGGCTGGCCAGGGTGGGAAAGACCCTGGCCTCTCCTGGGTATAGAACTTCTCTCAAGCTTGGAAGCAGCATGATATGAGGAAAAGAACATGGATGGCAGCCTCACAATATCAGATTTGAGTCCCGGGTCCATGGAATGGTTCACAGCCCAGGTTGGCTGTGGCTGAGCACACCGCTGCACCACGTATTCGCTGTGTGCTCTTGAGCAAGTTTGCTTCACTTCTCTGAATCTCCCAACCTTCTATAAATAAGGAGGATAATCACAGCACCAGAAGAGTAACGATTACATGACACTGTGAAAGGAAGGGCTTAGCAAAGCGCTTGCCCGAAGCAAGTATCCGATGCGTGTTAGTTATCGTCCCGTCCGTCATTGTCACAATGTTCTTATTACCTGTTAGAGCAGGGGTCAATAAACATTTTCTGCCGAGGGCCAGATCGTAAATCTTTTTGGCTTTGTGGGCTGTAAGGTCTCTTACAATTATTCAACTCTGCTACTGTAGCACAAAAGGAGACAGTCAATACCTAAATGGAGGAGCATGCCAGTTCCACTACAACTTTATGAGTCAAAAACTTGAATTTGAACTTCACCTAATTTTCATAGAACACAAAATGCTTATTTTTCTTCTGATTTTTTTTAACCATGTAAAAATGGGGGGGGGGAATCTCAGCTCCAGGGTCCTACCGAACCAGGCAGCAGGCTGAGTGTGACCCACAGGCCATGACTCGCCACCCCCTGTACTGGAATAGAAGCTCCAAGAGGACAAGGGGGGTTGATGGGTTTGTCCACTGCTAACCTCCCAGCATCTAAAACAGTGCCTGGCAAAGGGCGGTCAATAAACAGTCGCCGATGAATGAATTACATGCTGTGTGATTCTGGGCAACGAGCCATGTCGGCTCTCGGGCCTTTGGTCTCTTCCTCTGTGCAACGGGGTTGCTTGCACACTCACTCGGGCAAGCATCAAGTGTAATTTGAATGCACGGGGAGCCAGGAGGCCAACACAACTGCTGAACCCTGCTGTTGCCATTCTGGCCACCGGGCGGCTCTCTCCCAGGCTGGTCTCCCCCCAGCTCAGGGCCTGGCACAGGGGTGTTCAGGACTGCTCCTGTATGGAGAGTGATCTGCCCTGGAGGAGTGGGGGGGTGCCCAGTTAGGACTACCCTCTCCTGTGTTATGTGGGGGCTGGGGGGTGGTGGCTAGCACATTGGCCAGGAGCAGCAAGGCAGCCCTGGGTGTAGCTGCAGGGACTTTTTAGGCACTCTGAGGGTATCTGTAACACCAGGGAGGCGGGGAGGGAAACTGGGCATCAGACTCAGGCAGACAGGGTCCAAGTTCTGACTCTGGAATGTACTTTGTGATTTGAGGCAAGTCACTGCAACTGCCTGAGACTCACTTTCCTTGTCTTTAAGACGGAGAGGTAAATAGTGCTCCGCTCGCCTCACAGGGTTCTAGTGAGTTAAAAAGGGATGTATGTTGGAGGCGAGGTCAGGAAAGGTGCACTCGTGCCTTCTGGCTTTGCAGCGGCAGCAGGAAGGTGGAAGGAAAAAATCGCCTCCAGACTCCCCAGCTACACAGGTTTTCGGCTCTAAACAAAAAAGCTCTGCTGTTTTTCTTCCCCGGATTAAAAATTTCCTACTGCTCTGCGAATTCTCAGAAGCCAAGAAATCCACTGCTTTTGGAGGACTGGGGAGTTCAGCCCCTTCTATTTTTTTTTTTTTTCCCTGTTCTTCCCACTAACCAGCATGAAAGAAGATGCAAAACAAAACCAGTCTGGCCATGTTTCCACTGTCCCAGGAAGAAGAATTTATGGAAGGAGACCATTCAGCACACAGCTGGAGATGTCCCATGCATTTAGTTCCTGGCCTGCCTGCCCATCTATTTTGTCGCCGCAGCCTCCTCCTCCATTCTGCTCTCCGCGTAAGCACACGCATAGGAAGGTTTCCAATCCTGCGGGAAGGGGACACTCTGCCCAGATACTCTGGCACTGGCTTTTCCACCATCCTGCCTTGTGACCTCACACAAACCACTTCCCCATTTGGACTCACATCCTTCCCTTCCGTAAAATGAGCAGAATCCCCATCCATCCTCCATCCTCGGCTAAAAGGGCCTCTGAGCCCATGGTCCTTGTCCTGTTACCCGAGCAGATTTGGAAGAGGCAGGCAGAAAGTGCCATAACCATCTGACTAGGAGTCCAGACCAAAGTGAAGAAGCTGGTAGGGTGTGGGTTTTCTGGGAGCCAGGACCAGAGTGTGGGACACAGGTACTGAAAGAGGGAAACATTTTTTTGTGCCATTCCCCATATAGACCCGACTCAAGGCATCCACCCCCAAACCTGAGAGAATCACGACCATTACCAGGATATTCCTGGCCTTGTACCTCTCTTCCATGAAACTGTTCAACACCTTTCCTTGAAACTTGGTTGAGAAATCTCCAGGTGTCAGCCCCAGTCTCCCCAACCGTCCAGGCTACAGTCCCTGAGGGCCCATCTGCAGCCACTCAGGTCTGGGCCTCAGACTAGCAAGCTCATCTCTACAAACTGGGGAGAGTGGGGGTGGTGGTGGCTGGAATTAGTCACATGGCCCCAGGTTGGCCTGGGGCTGAGGCACCTGGTCCGACCAGCTCTCTACCTTCCCTCTGGCCCTGCCCACCCCATGCCATGTTGACCCAACATACACTTGGACTTAGGCTTCAGCTTCCCTTACCCAATCCGTCTGTCCTGCTGGAGCCTCACTGCCTGCCCAGGCCAATGCACATCCTTCTCTTGCCCACTCAGTTCCCCCAGGGAGGAGGATCCCCCTCCTTCCACTGGGGTCCTGCCATGAGTAAAGGACCAAAAGCCCTGACCTTTGGCACTACTCCACACTCTACTTGCGTGCCTCTTGCTGCATTCTGCCCCTTGGACTGTTGGCCACTCCACCCAGAAAGTGCTGGGTGCCCCTTTGAGCCCTGCCCTACCTGGCCAGACTCCTCCTCAGTCCCTGTCCTCTTCGTCAACTCTCAGAGTCAAGATCCCAGCAGCCCTAGTGGAGAGATGCCTGGGAAAAAGTGCTTCTCAGGGAAGAGGCCCACGTGCCCAGCAGGTCTATGCCACCCCCCACCCCCACCCCAACTCAGGGACCTCGCACCCTGCCCAGCCAGCTCTCTCACCTTCTCCAGCTGGTGGACACCCTCTTCCACACAGCAGATGGAGGCCAGTGTGCGCAGCGCCTGGGGGTACAAGCACCGGAAACTGTCCTGCCGGCAGACCTTGAAGAGTGCCACGACCCCACCCTCCTGCCAAGAAAAAGAAGATGTCACATGACCTCCCTGGGTCAACGTTCCTGGGGCTGATGGGAGAATAACTGGCATCCCTCACTCAGCTGGTATGCTTGCAGATCTGGAGGGGAGCAGAACACACCACCCCAAAATATGTCACTTTGGCGTAAGGATTGTTTTGAGCTGAAGGTAACTGAAGAAGCAGATACCAGAGATCTCTGCCCTCCCCTGTTGGCCTAAAAGGAGGACATACATTTACAGAGATGGCCCCTTCCCCTCTCTACCAGGAAGGAGAAAAGTTAATCACCAGAGGCAAATTCAGACCCTTCCAGCATGGAGGTGGCACCAGGGGAATCCTCTTGACAAAGCTGACTAACCATCCTTCATCTACTATTAGTTTTCCATAGATTTGCCTTCCCACGGTCTGCCACCCCTGGAGATTCAAAGTTCTTTATTTCGTTACTTCTCTGAAAATGTATTGTTCTTTTGCTAAGAAGCTACATAAGTGCAAGTTCTAACCAACCCTGTGACTCACTCATCTCTGACTGCTCCCTGTGTCATCGTGATGCATATGCTAATAAACTTTTGTTTGCTTTTCTCTCTACTTAATCTGTCTTTTGTCAGCCCAATTTACAGGGTACCAGCCAGAGAACCTAAGAAGATGGTAGAAAAAAAACAATGTTGCCTCCCCTAACGTTCCTATATACCCTACACACACACACACACACACACACACACACACACTTCCATGCTCAAATGCATGCTGCAATGAAATGCTACCTCCGCAAGTGATGTTACTCGTAATAATCCAAACTGGTGATGGGACTTTCCAAATGTTTCTGGGGCTGGGGTACCAGGGCTAGGGCCGACACACTTGAGAGGGCCAGGCCCAACACCACTCAACACTGCTCCCACAGAGCTTGCAGCTTCCTCGAAGCAGCCTGCTGTGGAACAAGCCTGGAGTCATCAGAAATAGATTCTAAAAGCAAGTCTCAGGCAGATGGGGGAAGTGAAGTCTAGATGCCCAGTGCTGGCTCTCCTTCTGCCGGCAACCACCACTACTCCTCAGACGCTCCCAACCACCATGGCACGCATACAGAAAAAGGAGTCTTATTCATATCAATAAGAGAGTTTATTCCCATTTTGTGAGGGAAAAAAATGCAAGTCCAGATGGGTGAAATAATTCACTCAAATCTACACATCCTTGTTTTCCCTTCTTTACTCTAGTTTGTAAGAGAAAAGAAAAAAAAAAAAGAAAACCCTTCAAGAATGATCACCCTAGCTGAGTGTGGACACATGTACTTCTTTTGTGACAGTTGGTCACAGAAACACCTTTAATTTGTGGAGAGTTCACAAGCAGTCTGGTGGGACTTCTGGGAAGAACCCCAGGGTGAGACACTCATCCCAACTGGTCATATTTATTCTATAAAAATCACTGGAGCCACGCTGGCTGGCTCTCAGAGCAAAGTGGGAGATCCAACAGATCACAAAGCAGACCCACCGGGGTGCCCAGCAAACCGGTGGCAACGCCACCATGGATGTCCAGAGACGTAGAAGCTGGACACCCCCTAGCTTTGCCCTGTTTCCTCCCTCTCCCCTTCCCCCAGGGCTTCCCCCAGGGCTGCAAGGGTGCCTGCTTCTCTATGTCTCTCATGAACAGATGGATAAAATCTATTAATAAAATAAAATAAAATGTATATACATACATATATAAACACATATATAAACATACCTTCCTATATAAGTACTTCCACGTATCTAAATATTTATACGTGGAGGGAGCTCCACGTGGCACCAGGGGAATCCTCTCGACAAAGCTGACTAACCATCCTTCATCTATTAGTTTTCTAATAGTGGCTGTAGAGAAGACGTGAAGACTGATGCCACTCACCTTTAACCTCACCACTCCTGACTCTACCTAAACCTGTTGCACCCTGTTACCCAAATTGAAAAAAAAAAAAAAAAAGTTACAGGAGGAAGAAGAAGGTGAGTGCAGCAAAATACCATTCCCTGTCAGATTTTTGGGACCTCTCTTCAACACACAGTATACTTCTCACCAGGCTTTGTTTCATGTTCTGGGGACACAGCTGTGACTGCCGGTGCAGATAATGAGCGAGCAACTGGAAGAGGCAGCAGCACGGCCCCCCTGAATCTTCCCCACCCGGCACCGCACAACAATCAGCACAGCAGCCCTCCTCTTTCTGAGAGTTGTGCTGCTTTTCATGGCAGGAACCAAGATGATTTCATAATTCCTGACATTTTATGATCAGCTGAGAGCAATCCTTGACTTTCATCTTCCCACTTCCTTTTGGGGTTCATTTGTTGGCAAAAGGGCATCTTGTATACAGCCAGCAAAGTGCTTCATCCCGCCAAGAACTATTAACGGTGTGTCAGATGCCAGACGCTCTGGTAAGTACACTGAGCAAGATTGTCCATATTGAACTCACGGTCTGACAGCCAATGAGTCATGGGATGGAAGAGCATTTTTAAAGCAGGAAGAAATCTGGGAAGAAAGGAATGAAATGAGGGGGTACAGGGTTATGGGAGCACAGAGCAGGAACTCCTACCATAATCCGAAAGGAGATCATGGAAGGGTCAAAGAGAGGTGCTCTGATTTTCAATGTACGTCACTACTCTGATAAAGATATACTCCAGTGGGTGACAAGGCACCCCCTGACTCCTTGCTCCACAATCCTTTATCCCCATCTTCCTACTTTCTCAAGGTCTCAGAGACATCTGACGAGGGTTCCACTTAAAGGCCTTGCTCAGAGTCACTGAAGTAAAATCCAATTACTCCTTGAAATGAGAAGAAAAGAAACAGGAATCCTAAGGTCTCCCCAGCCAGCCCTGCTGGTTGTGAATGAGCTCCCTCCACGTATAAATATTTATATACATGGATGTACTTATAGAGGAAGGCATGTTTATATATGTGTTTACAGATGTATGTATATATCTTATTTTTTTAATAGATTTTATCCATCTGTTCATGAGAGACACAGAGACATAGAGAAGCAGAGACACAGGCAGAGGGAGAAGCAGGCTCCATGCAGGGAGCCCGATGCGGGACTCGATCCCGGGACCCCAGGATCACGCCCTGGGTCCAAGGCAGACGCTCAACCGCTGAGTCACCCAGGTGTCCCTGTATATACATTTTACATGTGTATGTTTATCTTTAGCCATATGCAGTATAAATATTATTTATATGTACGATGCTAGAGATGCTAGATAAATAGATATGTAGGTAGATACACAGATATGTGGATAAATACGATAGAAAGACAGGAAGGTAGGTAGGTATTCATATCTGGAGCAGACAGCAAGGAAATGGTACCAAAGAACACCAGACTGAGAGTCAGGACCAACAGGGCAGCCTTCCTTTGGCTCCGGAGGCACTGACCCCAGCATGACTATATTTAAGCCTCTGTGCCCATTTGCATTGGATTCTCATTACATTGTTTCCCAAGCCTGTGAAAAATAGCTTGCTTTGCATTTTTAGCTACTAGGGAAGCTAAAGGGAGGAAATCCTAAACCCAGACTGAGGGGATTCTGGTTCAAATCCTGACTTTGCTGCTGGTCAACTTTGACTAAAAATGGGGTCACAGCAGTGACACAACCAAGCTGTTGGGGGAACAACTGAGTTAATGCATGTTTAAGGGCCTGGCACCCAGTTCTGGACAGCCAGGTGAGGGTCAGCTGGTGGAAAGCTTCCTGGTTAGAAGAGTGTCTCAAACCCTCATAAAAGGTATCCCAAGAGTTGGAATGTGTGGACGGCAGAGGAGGAAGGAGGTCACAGAGAAAGGGAGATGGATTTGTTGTGTAGACTACCACCCTGAAGCCCCCTCAAGGACCCAAGAGCAGCACTCATCTTAGAGTAGAGCTGGGAATCGCCTGAGCTAGCAGAATTGCACTGTTGGCTAGAGCTTGTTTAATTTTATAGAAAGCTACGGGCTCAAAGCCAAAGTGCCTAATGGTATGTATTATTCAGAGAGACTTGGGATAAACTGTCATAAAGCTAAGGAGGCCACTTGTGGGGTGCAGGCTACTGGTGGGGGGAGTAATAGTGGAACAGGATAGGGGATAATTTTGACAAAGCACACGGGAGTTTGCTCTACTCTGAACTCAGGAAAGGATGGGGCTCAACATTACCATCACAGGGAGGGCTGGTTTTGTTCCTTGGCTTTCAAAGGAACTCAAGAGACTTCTCTTGAGACAGGCTTCAGACAGGCTGCCCAAATCATCTTCCGGAGGCATCTCAGATGGATGAGGGGCCCAAACACAGACCACAAGGAGGTGGGTCAGGCAGGCCACTGCGAGTAGCTGTGGCACATTTGTCACAATGTTGGGTCCACTTAATGAGCATCAACAGTGAGGATGCTGCATAGATGCTATATAGAGTGCACCAGGGACTCCCAGCTCCTGCATCACTTCAGGACTGAAGACCCAGACACAGTGATTCCACTGGAGGAACGAGTCTCACCATCTTCCAGGCTGGAAAGATGGGAGTCATCATTGAATCTTCTCTTCACTTCAGCCTTCTAACTACTCTCTCCCAAGAGCCAGAGACATAAGAAGATTGAGATTAAGGTTCTGGAGTCAATAGATCTGGTTAAAATTTCAACTCTGAGCTTAATGCACATGCCCTCAGACAAGTGATTTACCTTCTCTCTGAGCCTCTGTTCCCTCATCTTAAAAATGGGAACACATCATAAGATCATTGGGAAGATCAGATGAGACCATAAATGAACAGCTGAGCACAGGGCTTGTGAAAAGAAGGGATGCAGCAAATAATGTAGGTTGTAGAAGGGGAGAGAAGGGCACAGGGAGGAAGAAGAGGAGAAGAAGAAAGAGGAGAAGGGTCTGCTAAGAGGCAGCTACAGTAATGAGCAAGAGCATAGCCTTTGCTGCCAAGCAGGCTGTTTCAAATTCCAGCTCACCCACTTACTAGCTGTGTGACATTTAAAGCTCCCTAGTGATTCTAATATGCATCAGGGTTGAGAATGTCTGAGTCACTCTTTGGCCCAAGAATCTGAAGGGCCGGGATGGAACCAGAAGTCACCACTGTGGGCTTTAGGATCATGAGCTCTGAATTAAAGAGACTTGGGTTCTAATTCTGACTCCATTCTTTATCAGCTGTGTGACCTTGAGTAAGTCCCTTAAACCATTTCCTCAGTTATAGATGAGAACAATGTAATACCTACTTCCTAGGATGGTTTTATAATTTAAAGAAAATCATGTCTGTAAGGCATTAAGCACGCTGGACAGCAACACTCAAATGTTAGCTATTGCTGTTATATACAATTTACTTCTCCCCTAAGCAGAGTTGACAAGCAGTTACCCTCCTCTTCCAGATTTCTTGAAGGGCTTAGATGAGTGATTCTGAGAGTGGCCATGCCTCGGAATTACCTGTAGGAATTGTCAAGATGTAGATTCTCAGGTCTTACCCCAGGACCTCAGTAAATTTAGGTGGGGCAAAAGTATCTGTGTTTTACAAAACTCCGTGAGGGACAGTGACACAAAGTCAGGACAGGGAACCACTGAGTTGGAGCATCTTCCTGTGACTGCCATCTTAAGTCTGCTGGAAGACACAACTTTGCTTCCAATTAGATCACTGCTTCTGTCTCCATGGCAATGTCATCTCTCAAGTTTAGAAAAACAAAACAATAGTAAAATCGAAACAAGATCCTAGAGAGAGCCTAGGGTTATCAATTGCCTGTAATTGCCCTAAGTATTTGGACCCCAAGTATAAGGGCAAATTAACCATGAAGATAGCAAATTTAAAATTCCACGGTGGGGCGCCTGGGTGGCTCAGTGGGTTAAGTGTCAGATTCTTGATTTTGGCTCTGGTCACAGTCTCAGGGTCATGGGGTCGAGCCTTACATCATTGGGTTCCCCACTCAGTAGGTAGTATGCTCAGGACTCTCTCTCTCTCTCTCTCCCTCTATGCCTCCCCATTGCACTTTCTCTCTCTAAAGTAAATAAATCTTTAAGGAAAATCTTCCATTGTAATTGATGAAAACCACTGTCCTCAATTTTATCTTCTCCTCATGTAGTATTGCAGTGGTTGCAAGCATTTTGGGGGATCCATCAAGAACCTGAGTTGGGGAGATGTGTTTTGTGTGGATGTGGTGAGATATATACAGATGAGGAAGGAGGCTTGATATTTCTAACAGACACCACATGAAAGGAATTATACTCTGGGGGCACCAGCTTTTCTCTCAAATGGGAACTGAAATCAGAAGGCCTGGCCACTATTAAAGATGAAGACATCAAGGCCTAAAGAGGGGAGGTGACTCTTCCAAGATCACAGAGCAAACAAATGCTAGAGCCGGGACAGACTTCCCGAGCCAGCTTTCCCACCAGACTAGCTTCCTCCCACTCTCCCCAGGCATGTCACTTTGGCTGCAAACCATGAAGCTCACCTTGGCTATGATGCGGCACAAGGGAGCCCCCTCTTGGGTCAGGCTGAACAGGTTCCCTGTGGTGGATTCCGTGGTGTAGATATTGTCTGAGGCATTGATTTTTCTCACCAGCGCCTAAGAAAAGAAAGCAAAGTCTGATGGTCACTCACTCCATCTGTCCTCCACTAATCTTCCTTAATGGAATACCAGTGGGTCCACACTTCTAGAATCTATTATCTGTCCCATCCACAGTCCCACTATGGGGGTGATGAGGTCTTCTAGCTTTGGGAAAGACATGAGTCTGCATGAGGTCTAAACTACATTTCAGAAATATAGGATAATTTCAAACCCCAGGGACACGACAACAAATGTGCCTTCTTCCAACTGATCAGAAAATCGGCTCTCAATACTGATGGTCTCAATAAGTACTTCTCTATTGTTTATTGGCTTCAGATGAGAACAGACACCATCAGTTAAATAAATCATCAAGTTGAAAACCAATGAGTTGCTACAGCTATGACCAAAGAATTGGTTCCTTCACCAATGGCAAACTCTAGCTGGGTAATGGGTTCAGGGGTTGAGTCAAGAGAAGTAATCTACAGTAGCTTACTGCTTGGGGAACATTTGCACTGTGTGTATAGCCAGGCCAAAACAGCAACCCTGGGAACCCTGTCAGGGAGTGAGTAACTGGGGAATGTCGCACTGCTCAAACTGATGGAACAAAGGCTCATGGTGAGAAGGCTGGAAATGACCGAACATAGGACCCAGGGAGAACTAGGAAGAAAAGCAAATGGAAAATTCATCAACAAATGAGACATAAAGATTAGTTTAGCTTATTTCTGGGAAAAAGCTTTTTCACATATCTTGAAAACTACTTCATAATCAGCCATTTGCTTTGAAGCATATGATTCATTGATTATAAATGATTCCTACCTGCTAATTAATTCTAGCTGCTTGAGTTTCTTCTGGGAGATGTGGAGATAGTGATTCAGAAGAACTGCCTTAGGGGGGCTTCATGCAAGAAAATAACACCTCCAGAGCTCGTGCTCTGGGCAGCTACTCATGCAGTTTCAGTTGCTATGTTATTTTAAAATATAAAAATGGATTTGTTTTTTTAATTAAACCTAGTGTTACAGAAAAAAATATTAAAAGAAAATGAGGAGATCTGAGTTCTAGTGCCAGCTTGCCTTTTTTTTTTTTTTAATACATTATGTTGATGAGGAATTGTGTCCGAAGTTGAAAGCAGGGACTCTGGAGCCAAACAGCCTGGGTGCAAATCCTGCCTCTGCCATTCTGTCCATGTGCCCCAGAGCAAGTAACTTAGCCCGTCTATACTTCAGTTTTCTTATGTGTAAAATGAGGGTGAAATAATAGTGTCTATTTCTTACAGTGGCTGTACCTATTTCTTAAGGTAGCCAATATATGTATATAAAGGATTTCTAAAGGTACTTGGTACATGGAAGCAAAATAAAATTGTTCGCAGTTATTATTCTGTTATCTTGGGCAACTGAGATACACACCATAGGCCTCAGTTTCCCCATCTGTAAGATGATTCAAATGAAGTGGGTTTAAGGCTCAAGGCATATGGCTCTCCCCTTCTCTTTTTTATTCAAACTCATAGAATTCTTCACACACACAATATGCTAATCTTCTACATAAAGCAGTCTAAGATTAAGTGCGTATTTAATCAAACTACATTAAATGTAAAAATTTCCCTAAGATTTGATAAATGCCTCTTGTAAGAGATTCAACAAAAGGTAAAATTAATAACCAAAATTTGTCATAGCAAATCTCTGTAATGAACATACTTCTTAGAATCTTCCCCCATCATACCATAAGCGGTTATATAAGTGAATTAATGCTCGCATGAAAATGCCGATTTCATATATTGGGGTCCTGCACCTAAATCATAATTACTCAGTGTTCCTGATTAGTGTTTGCACTTCAAGCAAATTAGCGTGACGTTAAACAATTCAACCCAATGTCTTTTGCAATCACCTGCTAACATCAGACCATTTATGTCTGAGAATAATTTCTTGCTAATGCCTATACACACATACACCGTAATTATACCTCAGATTATCTCACTGAATCAGCTCTCTGACAATGAAAAGTTGTAATCATCCTTTTCACAAAGATAAATTTGGAAAAAATATGAGATCAAAGGCCCCACTGAAATCGTCAAGGGCCTAAGCATCACAGTGTGTCAGGGCCGGAAGGGCTCTCAGCTGTCTTGTCCAACCCTCACTTCACAGGAAAGAGAGGCAGAAATCTGACCAAGGTCATGCATGTGATACGTGGTGGAGTTAACTGGACCTTAACTCCTGAATCTGACTTCCTGTTTTTCAAAGTCAATGGATCCATCTCCTTCAAAGATGGCAAGACCTCATCTAGACTAGCAAAGATGGAAGTCTCAGGACAAGGAGATTATCCAGCCTCATTAGCAGCTCTCCCTCCTGGCTCCCCTTAGCATCTACAGCCCCCTGCCCTGTGGTAGCCAGAGCTCCTGCTGCAGGGGGCAGAGTTGACTGGGAGCCCCCAGCTGCTCCCCACCCCTGGCTCTACCCCTGTCTTGATTGAGGCCATACCTCCCTGAGCCACTCCCAGATGTGACCAAGTACAGCAGGCAGGGGTCCTAGTGCAGCCAGTGGCTGTTAGGGGGCACTCCTCCAACAGGTGACTTTGGCCTGAAAATTTCAAGTCTCTTCTACCCAAGTCTTCCTTCTCCCTTTTATTTCTGTTTTCAGACCTGAAACATGGTTTTCTGTGCCTGCCCCCACTTCCTCTCCTTTATCCTTGACAGGCATTTATCACATCCTCTCTTGGTGTCAGCTTCAAACTACCACAGTCTCTAAAATCAAGATTTGTCAGGCAATCAAGGAGGAACTGAAGAAGTGTCAAAAATATGCCTCACCCTGTATCGTGAGAAGAGTGGCGGAAAAGAGACAAAATAAAGGAACAAAGATTGATGAAGCTGAATGACAGAAATATTGTTTTAAAGACAAAGTAGGCAGAGAAGAAACAAAGAAACTAGAATCTTGAAAACTAGGAGAAAGGGATAAAGAAGAGTTAGGGAGGTGCACATAATCTAGCTGCTTTAAATAAGGAATTCGAAGAGGAAAAAATATTTTTAATTGTTTCTCAGTCAGAAAGAGCGACTGCAGCCCAGTGAAATTGATCAGGAGAGGTAAAGGCTCGCACATCAGCCTGGAAAGTTCCTCAGGGGGAGCCAGGAAAATACTGTGAAGGCTCTGCCTAAAGCTTCAGACAGAGAATCCACAGCTGGGCAGTTAGGGCAGCCCAGTCATGCAAAGGGCTTATATACATATGGGCCGATGTGACGGGGTGTAGCAGATTAAACCTGGCCACAGATTCTTTGCTACTCCTCCCTTAGACAGGTGGGCTCTACTACCCCGTGCCACCACCACCTTTTAAATCTGGACTGGCCCCAATGACTTGCTTGACCAATAAAAGCCAGCAGTTGGTAGAAGTAATGTTCCAGGATCTCCAAGGCTAGCTCATAAAAGACCTTGAAGCTGCCACCTAGGCTTCTTAGAACATTCTTTTCAGAATCCTGAGTTGCCATGTAAGAAGTTTGGTAACTCTAAGACTGCCATGCTGGAGAAGCCACGTGTGTAGGATCCCGGAGCAGTACTCTCAGCACACAACCAGCTGTCCAGCTGTCCCCTCCAAGGCACTACACATGTGACGAAGTTTTCTAAGACTCTCCAGACCATCTGCCAGCTGACTAACACCACATAAACTCTGTTGAGGCCACGTGGAACAAAAGAATCACTCGGCCAGGCTCTTCCCACATTCTTGATCCTTTGGATGACACAATATAATAAAAATGGTTGTTACGCACTGAGTTCTGGAAAACAGGAGAGGGCTCCAGAGAATAGCAGGAGATATCTAAAGGATTGCTACATAAATTTCTAGGTGAAAGGCTTTGAATATGAGGATACAGTATTGCCTGTGTCCTCAGAGAATGTAGTGGAGAAACACATGAATCAGGTGCCCCTGAGGAAGGGCACAGAAAGATTGGACACCCTGGAGACAGACAAAATCCCAACTGAATCCAGGCTCGGATTAGCTATTGTTGTGATGGGAAAATATCTCCTGGATTGGAATGTCCCATTTAGGGAGGCAAATGTGGATGAGATGTCTTAGAATTGGAGGTTTGGGGCAAACACAGACCTTAATTGATTTCATTTCTCTCAATAAGGCAAATTCCAACGTCCAGAAGATTTTTTTTTTTGAAAAATGAAAGAATGTGCCAGAAAGGAAGAAGTCAATGTGTGAAATCCAGCAATTAGTGCTCATTCTAGGAGTTAGTGCTCATTCTAGGAGTTAGTGCTCTTTCTAGGAGTTAGATAAGGAAAGAGACCAACATGAGAAGCAGGGTAGAGTGACAGAAATTCAACAGGCTCCCTAAAAGGAGTCAGGGATTAAGAAAAGGAGAGAATCCTGGAAACATAGTTCATTAGTGGGGAAAAAAAAGGATGTAGCAGAAAGAAATGCTACTCAAGGTTAACATACTCAAAAGGTATGGAAAGACTGTGTTCTAAGAAGCATATAGCAGAAGAACTGGTCTTCACGAGGCCTATAAGGATCCAGACTTCAGGAACATCACAAGGAAACCTTCCTTAGAAAGACAGGGATCAAAAAAAAGAAGAAAGGAAAGAAAGAAAGAAAGAAAGAAAGAAAGAAAGAAAGAAAGAAAGAAAGAAAGAAAGAAAGAAGAGAAAAGAAAGACAAGAAAGACAGGGATCTTAGGCTTAAGCAGTTCCCCAGCAAGAGGCAAGGATAACAGCTTTCATGATATAGAACTAAAATGTCTATGTATTCTAAGGCATTTTTTAATTTTCTTATTTAGACCTAAAGGATTTTTGAAAAATATATGACCCCTTGCACATTTTTGATTTGATGGTTAAAATTTTTCACCACCAGTTTCAAGAACAAAGTTGGAAAGGATGTAATTTCCAGCAGATTGTAGATACTCACATAAAATAAAAGGATTACATCACTCTTTTTAGATGTAGTCAGTGGAACTTAAATACCAAAACAACTTGATGCCCTCATCATCCTCTTAAAAATGTATGAATAATCCCTTTCTTTAACATTGTCAGCATTTT